GAGAGAGAGAGAGAGAGAGAGAGAGAGAGAGAGAGAGAGAGAGAGAGAGAGAGAGAGACATTCTCATTGTCAAATAATTGGCCTTTGGGCCTCGTTCGACACTACTTTAACTCGAAGGTTGATGGAAAATTCTTGGTTCGACCCCACCCTAACATGACCACGGAGTTGTTTCTACTTTCCGGCTCTCAAGTGCCCGCCCTCGAAACTCAAGTGCGGCCGGGGCAAAATCGCACTTGAACTCAAGGTACCTCTCTGGGGAGCCTTGAGTTCAAGTGCCAGTGGATACTGCCGGCACTCCAAGTGGGGCGTTTTTTTCTTTTTCTTTTTTTTTCCAGCAGGCGATCCTCGTCCAGGATTGTTCAAGCCGTGGAGTTTGGTCTCAAGTGCAGCCTGTTCAAGGGTTTCCTCAAGTGTACATGGAACCATAAATTGAGTTAAGTGTAAATTAATCACAATTTCTCGTTCAGTGTGCACGTGAAACTCAAGTATTTCTAAGTGGTGTCGAATGAGGCTCTTTTTCCTTTAGGTACTGGGCTTTGGTTTGAAACTTGAAAGTAATCTATTTTTTCAATACTCTTATTAAAGTGTAAGCTGGGTCTCGCGCGACGGTCCCGTGAGGCCTGGCTGCCTTTCTCCTTTAGCTACTGGGCTTTGGTTTGAAAACAATCTAATTTTTCTATATGTGAGGAATGAGCCCTCAAGAAGGGGCCTTGCCATGATGTACATGTTCTGGGCTAAGGCCCCAGAAAGCCTCGTGCCCGCCCTAAGTGAAGGCGGGCCAGCAAATCAACAATAGCCCTCTGTGCATACATTTCACGAAGTGGGGTCCTTACAGTTGCAGCACGCCAGTTGGTTGGAGTGAACCGAGTTTCGGATCTCAGCAAATGCTGAAATGTCCAGGGCCTCTGAGTTAGTTAGGCCCTGGGCTCTTGAACGTGAGGACGACAATGCACGCTGGGTATAGAGGCCGAAAATGCAAAGGGAAATCGGCCCACTGTCTGAATCTGGCCGCAGGCCTTGACGAGAGAGGCACAACTGCATCTCCCGGGCCCCAACTGTAATGGGCCTGGGTTCAGCCACTGGGGCCCTGTCGCAGGCTGAAGGGAGGCCGCCCACACGGAGCACTGGCATATAGGCAAGCAGGGCGAGTGGGCTGGGGTCTTGGCCAATGCTGGCATTGCGGGCACGCTGCGCGGATGCAAGTGTGCTGCGCTATGCATGAGCAGCGCTGCGCTGAGGTGAAGCAGGCAAGCGCTAGGCGGTAGGGCGCTGCCTGCATGCAAGGCACTGGCGGCCATAGCCGGGCCGCATGAGGGTGCAGTGARGGTGAAGGGCGAAGGWGGTCTTCGGAGGTGAAKGGCGCTGTGTGGGTACAAGGGAGAGTGTGGGTGAAGAGGACACGTACCTGGTGSMGGTGGAGGTCGGCATTGGTGTTGACATCATCACTCGCTGGTAGTCAAGTTGTCTGGTTGCTTTCATTGCTGTAGTTGTAGGCTAGGCTGTAGAAGTAGATAGGGCGCCTGGCGCCATTCACAAGAGAGAGCTACATTTGGGTTATGCTGTTGGTGTTTCCCTATTGGGCATGGACATTGACTCACGACTCTTCTGTATCATTTTCAATTGGATGGTTACTCGGTTCCATTGTGCTATCTGCTTTGGCTTGGACTACTTGGACTTCAGTGTGATTTTGCATTCTGGATTTCTGTGCTTCGTCCATATTCATGTTCCTCGCATATACTTTTATTAAAGTGTAAGCTGGGTTTCGTGTTTCTATATATACTCTTAGTAAAGTGTAAGCCAGGTCTCGCGTGACGCTCCTGCGAGCCCGGCTGCCAGTGTTGGGAAAATGTCATTCCCTCTTGGGCCCGCAGCGTTGTATGGGCCGCACTGGCTGGCGGGGTCGCAAATATCCAGGCGCACATTCAAATACAAGTGCATAGCTGCAAACTCCGAGTTGTTCCTTTTTTTTTGTTTCCATGTCTTCTGGCCGCACGTGCAGTTGGTTGGTGGGCTGTTCTGTGGGCTGTTTTGTTTTGTGCTTGGAGAACGAATCTTCTGCTGCGGCGCTTTGTTTCCATTCGGCAGCCCAACGCCGGCACGCCACTCATGTTCGAAATTCGAATACAAGTTCTTTTTTTTTCTTTTTCTCTTTTTTTAAAACAGGATTTGTTCAAAATTGTGGATGGGCCTTATCAGTGGTCCATATGATTATGCCCAAGGCGTGACCAAAGTCGTCAATCAGACCCCTGAAGCTCGAGGTTCTCTCTCTCTCTCTCTCTCTCTCTCTCTCATGCTTGTAATCTGCATTTGAATTGCAATGCTCGCGAAGAAAGGTGCAGGTTTCCAGCCTTTGTGTGTGCCCCGTCTCTCCCTCCCCACCCCCCTCTTACAGACAGTACGTCTGTTCGAGGGGGCAAAAAGAGGAAGGTATCTCACATTTTCAAATGTGGATGTTTGAAAAACGTTCTCACAGACAATGTGAATGTTCGAATACAAGTTCATAGCTGCGCGTTTTCGGATTCAATGCACAAAAGACAAAAAAGATATGGAGACTTATCTGTTCTCTCTTTCTCTCTCTCTCTCTCTCTCTCTCACACACACACACACACACACACACACACACACACACACACACACACACACATATAAAAAAAGTAAAAAAGAAAAGTGGCAGTTTATATTTCCATGTTCTAGCGGAAGAATAGCAGGGGACAACGCAAATGCTTTGGAAGGATAGGAGGAGGGGTCAAGGAAGGACTTGAGGAAGGGGTTTACGAAGCGACGCTGGACCTGGTTTCCAGCTTAGCCGAAGCTAGGAAGTGGGCCCGGTCCGTCCTGGACAGAAATTTTGAGGTCCCCAGCCTCTGAATATTGGTTCAAGCAATAGAGGCAGGGTTTGAAAAAGAAAATAATAGAAACAAGGGACTGCAAGCGGAGGGAAGCAATGGAAACAGAAGGGAAGGAGAGAGAAAGAGAAGGAAAGGAAAGGGAAGAGAGGAGAGCTGAAGGCAAGGGAAGAGGAACTGGGGAACGGCAAAGGCAAAAAGTGGAGATGAAGAGGGAAAAACCAGTGAGAGGAAGAAAGGGGGGGGGAAGGGAAGGAAGCAAACCGAAAGAAAGACAAAGAAACAAAAAGCAACTAAAAGAACAGAAACGCTAAAACCACCACTACCTGTCCCACGCAACATCAAGAATTGGAAATGTCACATTCCGGGCTCTTCGGATGAGCAGTGCCACCGACCCACAATGGCTGGCGCTGCAAGCGCAAAGACAAACAACGACGCCATGCTGGCGCTTGGGCAAAGCTTGGTGCGCAGTTCTTTTCTGCCTTGGCGGCAAAAAGAGGTCGAAGGTAGTGGTGGTTTAAGAAAAACGGAAAAGAAAGAAAGTTAAAGATGTGCACCGATTACCAATGGGCCTAGCTCAGTTGATACACCAATGAACTGATGAAATACAGACCCGAGTTGGAATCCAGATGCCACCATATGACCAGAATAAAATCGTTCTGAATTACCCGGGCTGGTCAGCTCAAGGATGATATCTTTTAAGGCCGTCGGGCCCGTCGCCCTTTTTTTTCTTTTTCTTTTGAAAGAAGAAAAGAAAAGAAAAGATGTGCACCAATTTATTTGAGAATGACTTTACAGTGTTTACACTCCTTTGAAAAGGCTGCGTCCATTGTAGCTGACAAGCCCAGTCAGCCAAGAGAAGATAAGACTCTCAAGTAAGAAGCCAGGTAGGTATTGACTAAAGCACAATATACACCCTCATCAAGGTAGGCAGGTGGCCCAAAGATTTAATCACAGCCAGAAGCACCTGATAAGAGTATCTACAAATTTCAGCTTCTGTTCGTTTGCTCATTAGACAGAGACGACAGAAGGAAAACATCAGATGGGCTCGGCCTGTTTGTTAAAAAAAAAACAGTGCTGATGAAATTTGAAATTTCATGAAAAACTCCTTGCTGGGAGTGAGTGGTGAACAGCGACAAACTCCTGCCTACTTCTACATTTCTAAAGCACAGCAGAATTGAACGTTGTACCCGTTTATGGGCGCTTGAGATCCTTGCCCAAAGAGTGTGTCATAAGGAGACGGTCTGCGGCCGCACAGCTGCTACAGCAGTGTTCGGGGTCACGAAAAGAATCTCAAGAGGCCAAAAACTTTCAAAATTCCCCAAAAGGGACTTGATACATGATGCCACAACCCAATTTACTAATTTAGTACTTTATCATAATAATATTGCCACCCACCAACACTAGCGTGTCCGACGTATGTTAACAAAAAATAAAAATCATAAGCACTTCCCAGGTTCCTGTACCCAAGGGTCAATCAAGACCCACCTCATGACTAGATGCGCTGACAGCATCGCTTCTCTGTGTTCTCACTCGAGTAAAAGAAGAAGAAACACACATGCCTGACTGTAATTACCAAGCAGCAATTCTTGACCCGCTTCCACATCAAAAGACGCAACACAAAGAAGTACAGCAAGTATGCGAAAACCTGATCACAGCAGACTAACAGATGCCGGGCGTTCACAAGGCCAGTCGATAAAAAAGAAACGCTTACTTACTTACAGAATTGGTTCTCACTGTTCTACGACCTACGTATATCTGCTAGTGTGTAACAATGCTTGACACTCCACTTCCACTTCAGAGAAACGGGCAGCAAAAAAAAATAGCAATCCAAGTGTGTAAGAACCTGTGCGCTTCATATGCATACATAGTACATACCCAGCCCATGGTGTACACATGAACTCTTGATAAGCAGACCTGAGTTCAAATCCTGACGGAATCCGATGAGTAAAGTCACTCCGGGACAGGTCAGCTCGACGATGACACCTCCAGGCCGCCCCCCTTTATACGGAAAAAGGGGGGGGGGGGGGGGAAGCTGTTGTCAGTGATGCCTGGCGATGACTACCTGATGGATGCCAACCGAACCCATCTGTCTGATCACTGTAAGCAAGGCGAGTGGAGCTGTCTGACAAAGACACAACCAACCAACCATATTCGAAGGCCACGAAGTGGGAGAGCCTGGAGGAGCTGATAAGAAACCCGAGAAAAGCCGGCCCGTGGGAGCCTTTAGCTCGTTGAGTTATGATCGTCTTTGAAAAGAAGGGCCGAAGGCTAAGCCTTACTTTGAGAAATCGTGCCACTAGACTTCGTATTCTATTGGCTAGTGCTCTAGGTCCGATGACTCCAATCAGGAAGTCGTCCGCATGGCAAACATAGTGAATCCTTCTAAAATGATTGATGATGGTCAATAACACCAGTTAAAGCAATGACAAGTCGCCAATTACCCTATTTCATGAAGGCGGTAAGAGCCAAAACAACGGCAGGCAATTCACAAGATGGAAGCGAACCTCGCTCTACTCGCTCTACTTGATAACAAGCTAAGCCATACTTCTCTAGTTGCCCATAGAAATCTCTAACCCCCCCAGTATGATACAAGTTCATACAACACACATATTACACACATCTCTTAATAAGGAAAAAAAATAGCATGCACACATGGAACCCCAGTACTTTTCTTGCTGCCCATAGAAATCCCTCCCCAATGTGCCGAATCACCATTACGAACATTGCATCTCGAGCAGACTCACTGTATTAACACACACACACCACAACAAAGAGGCACACCCAAGACGAAGGAGTTGACATCACTATCAAAAGCCAACATAACTCACAGATGAGAGGGGCATACGACAGATGGAATGAACAACACTAAATCGACATGGAAATGGCTTGTAGAACTACATTGCGCTCACATTTTCTTCTCATGTAACAGAAGGACTCGTCTCCAAACGAGAATAAGCACGATTAGACCATGGCCGTTGCCGAATGCATGGATGAGGTTGGAGAGCACTCGCTGTTTCCAGCACATTTCCTAAGCTAGTTCCAGCTGACCCACTTTGCTTTCTCGGCCGTATTCCTCCGTGCACATAATGCCTTGCCACAAGATTCTTGGGCTGCAAGCCAGCCTTACCTTACTTAACGACGTTTTAACGCCTCTGTCCCAAGAGTTTCACAAGTGATTAACGGGGACCCCCGCTTTCTCTTTCTTTTTTTTTTCCCCAAAATGTTGGCAAATTTTTATTTTTTTAGTTAGTTTTTTTTTTTTTTTTCAATTTGTATAATCTCCACTCTATGAATTGGTGGCAAGTTTGGTTAAATTGACCCTTGGGTTTTGTTATAAATGGCATGAGAAGTTGTCTGAAAATTGAGGCGTCCGTTAACCGCCTCTCCCTGTCCATCTCGCTCTTGGCTCAGTGGAGGTCGACTGGGATGATGACAGTAGCGAGTGACACCATGCGACCAGATGGCAAGAAGAAACCCCGTCACGAGCTTTGCGTGGCAATTGACTTGGTCCTCTGAATCCTTGAGAAACTGCAAATCCCGAGAGCAGGTTCCAGCCAGAAGGGTGGGCCTGGTCCCCTGTAGGTACCACCTGAAACTGTGGAGCTGGTTTTCTGGGTCCACCTGAAACTGCGGATCTAGTGCTGTGAGTCCATAAGTCTAGCATGGCCTGCGCACCAAGCGAAACCAGTAGAATCTTGGTCATGGCCACCTAATGCCAAAGTTCCGTTAACAAGTGTTTCCACATTGAAGTACCTCCTCAGGGAATACAAGATTTTCATGGCTGATCTTGAGCTGCCATCCAGGCACGAATTCCTACGTTGAGTATCTGAAACTGTGGGTCTGGTTCTGTGGGTCCACCTGAAACTGTGGGTCTGGTTCTGTGGGTCCACCTGAAACTGTGGGTCTGGTTCTGTGGGTCCA